GTTGTGAAACCAGTGGCGCGCATTGAGAAGGTTTAATGAATGGTAAGCTTCTACTCTACTCGTTGAAGATAAGACAAGCATATTATTCAATTAATGTTGTAATGAGGTGTCATAGCGTTCTTCATGTTTCACGGTGTTTTTAGAATATGAAATGAAATGAAATGAAATGAAATGAAATGTTTATTATTCTTAGCCCTAAAGCTACTTCCTATAGTTTATAATAGTGTCTTACTCCAGTAATAAACAAAAAAACAGTAATTCTAGATTCCCTTAAAATCATAGTAACTGCAACCACAGTAAATGCAACAATAGCAAATGCGAGATAATGACATACAGTTATCTTAACACAGAAAGTACATATATTATGCCATTTTATCCAAATACAATTGCTTAACCTTACGAATAAATATATTTACAGACGTCGCTTCTCTAATTTCTGTAGGTAATGCATTAAAAAGTCTCAAACCATCACTAAAAAGACATTTTTGCATATGGGATGTTCTAGCGAATTCTATGTCAAAAGTGTTACGTGACCTGATATTATATGCATGCCTCTCGGACCTCGGTATTAGATATTCCTGCAAGTATTCAGGCAATAAATGATTTTTTGTTTTAAAAATAAATAACACATTTGACATTTCAACCTTTTGCTGTATTGAAAGCCATCCGAGGGTTTTTAACATTAAATTAATAGGCGTATAACGTGTACAAAATAATATAGTGCGCATAGCCTTATTTTGTAGTAACTGGAGCCTTTGAATATCAGTTTTTTTGCATGATAGTAACAATGAAAAACAATAATTAAAATGTGGATATATGATGGTATTATATACAAGAAGACGACTCCAGTGACTAAGACTTTCAGATATTCGCCTAAAAAATCCTATTTTTTTCCCAATTTTTTTACTAACATAATCAACATGCAATGAAAAATTTAGCTGAGGATCTAAAACTACGCCCAAATACTTCATACTAGATGCACTTTCAATTTGAATATTATCTATCTCAATACAAAATTTCTTTTCTAAAAATGTATTACAGTTCTGCTTTGTTCCAAAAACCATGTATTTTGTTTTTTCTACATTCAACTTAAGCCTATTCACACATAACCAGTTATACAGAATTTCCAGTATTGAGTTCATACTATCTACAACTTGTCTAAAATCCTTACCGTACACATAAAGCAATGTATCGTCTGCAAATAAGCTCAGAAATGTATTTACTAAAACCCTGTTCAAGTCATTTATATAAAGTAGGAACAAAAGCGGGCCCAACACACTACCCTGAGGTACCCCAATTTCACTATCAATTGAATTTGACGCCACGTTATTAATCTTCGTCACATGACAACGGTCTTTCAAGTAGTTCATAAACCATTTTAGTGCACTGTCTGTAATCCCATAGGTCTGCAATTTCTGGATCAGTCTTTTCCTATCAATAGTCTCAAATGCACGTTGAAGGTCGATGAATACACTTAACACAATATTCCCGTCATGAATGTATGAACGCCATTTCGAACACACATACTGCAGCGCCGACTCGCACGAGTGTTTTTCCCGAAATCCCGACTGTCCCTTAAACAACAGTTTTCTTGCCTCCAGAAACTCCCGTAACTGCGCACAAACCTCGGTTTCCAAGATTTTGTCTATCACTGGTAACAAGTTAATGGGGCGGTATTGAGCTGGTTTATTTGGTGAGGACACTTTTGGAATAGGCACTATAATACTAGTTTTTATTGCTTTTGGAACTTTTCCTGTTGTAAGGGATGCATTGATCAAGTGAAGTAAAGGGTATCCGAGTACACAAAAAGCCGTTTTCAAAAACTTAACAGTACAAATATCATCCGCTGTTGACTTGTTTTTAAGTTCCATTACCCTTTTTCTAAGTTGATCAATGCTTATAGTGTTGAAGCTTGACAGACCATCACTTAACTGTGGCAATTCTTGAAATGTCGGTGCAACTTTTGGTATTTTGTCGGCTATTTCCTTTATGCTTTTTGCATAAAAATTGTTAAAATTGTCTTGAACAGATCCAGCATCTTCCTCAAATTCAATATTATCATATGACAGAACATTCTTGTTTTTGCTGCCTACAACTTGCTTTAAAGTTTGCCACATTTTTTTGCTATCCCCCTTGCATTGGTCAATAGTAATTTCATAATATTTTTTCTTTTCGTTTCGAATAACACGAGCGTAAATGTTCCTTTTTTTCTTATACAGATTCCAGTCTGAATTTAATTTGGTTATTTTAAACTTTTTATAAGCTTCATCCCTGTCTCTTCGGGCTTGGATTACGAACCTATTTATCCACGGTTGTTTGCGGGTTTGAGTGTTTTCAAGAGGTACAACTTTATTTACAGTTTCTGTAATATTTTTCATAAACTTTTCATATAATAGGTCCACATCTGTTGTTGAATAGTCCCAATCTTTTCCGTAGAGTTCAGCTATAATAGTGTTAATATTTTCCTTATTAAATTTTCGTTTATATTTCATTTCCTCTGTTTTAATCTCATGTTGCACATCCAATACGCAGCCTATAATTCGATGATCTGAAATTTGTGGAAAATCACCCGTGATTTCTTCAAGCAAGTAATTGTTAGTCACAATTAAATCAATCAGGGTGGCTGACGTATTTGTCACTCTAGTGAACTCTTGAACTATTTGTGTAAATCCTGCATCTGATACGATGTTTATTAATTTTTTTTGGCTTGGGTTCTCGGTCTCTAAGCGAATATTAAAATCTCCCAAAAAAATACTTTGATGAGTTGTAATCAAATCATCTTCCAGTAATTCCTCAAAAAATTGGAAAAATAAGTCCATGCTACCGTTCGGAGATCTATACAGTGATCCAACAATTATATTTTCCAATCCTAGCTGAACATTTAAGCATAAGAACCAAAAATGGCCGTGACGTACGACATTCTTTACAACTGTAGAAGTAACATTGTTTTTTACATAAATTATCGTTCCCCCTGTATGACAACTTTCAGCATGGGCAATGTAGTGACTATAGCCATTAATATTCAGTTCGCTATCCTCAAAATCCTCCGTAATATGGGTTTCATTAACACATAATATAAGAGGATTCTTATCCAGTACCAGCTGTTTCAATTCATCAACTTTTCGTCTTAGGCCCTGTACATTTATGGACAAACAAATTTCTTGAACATACGTTGATTGCTATTCATATTTTGTTTTAAGCCTAGTCTTTTCCACTTGCCGAAGATATGAAGTACAATTTCGATCAAAAACAGTATGATTATATTCTATATTTTTTATCTTTAAGACATTGCTAATATATTCACAGTTGCTACAACGTTTATTACTGCTTGTACATTGATCTGCCTTATGATTGCCGGCGCATAGTGGACATGTAAATTGCTCTTGTTTGCAGAGATTTGCCATATGCCCGTATTTCCAGCATTTAAAGCATCTTAAAACGCTAACAAATTCATACAATAGAAAACTATCCCATCCAAAGCGTAATTTCTTTTGAGCAATAAAGTAATTAAATGCCTCATTTGATACCTCTAATAGCACATTAAAATGTTCCTTCCTACGAGGCTTATATTTCCTAACAAACGTTATTTCGCTTGTACCACACATGTCTTTCAATTTGTTTATAAATATATCAATCTCCCTCAGGTATTTATCATAAACACCAACAATAACAATTTTTGGTTTTTTAAACTCTGGTATCTGAATTTCGTACCGATCTGCTAGCGCGTTCCGGGCAGCCTCGTGTAGTTTTTGCATCGACTCGTCGTTTTCACATTCTATCTGAATCCCACCGTTAGCTGTATTTCTGACTCCGGCTATATTTATTTGAGATGGATCGACTTTGTTGGTCACATCTAACTTGGTTTTCACGCTGTTCTGTGACGAATTTTTTGGTTTAATTATCAAAGGTGGTCGTTTGGCTTTTACTACGTCACTCCACTTCTGCACGCTGGCATTGGGTGCTCTATCGTATAATGTTTTAACGACGCTGAAACACTCCTTGGTTTGTTGTAACACATCGTTGGTTTTTTGTTCAAGACTGTCCAATCTCCTCGATATTTTTAGGTTTTGTATAGCAATATTACTACAGTCATTACAGAACCAAAACAAATTCATACAATCGGCAATACACTTACTGACATTATCTTTTACTTTAACACACACATTATGGAAAACTTTTTCACATAACTTACACTGAATTTGTTTACTGTTTACTATAAAATTATCCGTGCACACGGAACACGTCCGCACACCACTCATGCTGACTACTGACTGGGAGGGGAGGGGAGGCTAAACCTTTTCATAAGAATATTTTAGAAATATATCTCAAATATTCAAACCTAAATATCTCCAAAACGAGTTATCTGACAAAAATTGCTTAGAAGACAAAATATATAGATAATTGAATGATATTTCATAAAATGCCCTTCTTTTCTTCGAAAAGCTCAGTGACGTAGAAAGGTGTCCGGATTCCCCAGTCTCTACCTTCATGGCTCAGTTTGGGCGGGGAAACTCTGTGTATTATTTATTGGTTATGATGTGCTCACTGAACATCTTACTTAACTTGGTAGCTTAGGTAGATCTTAATTTTGGTTATACTTTCTACCCTAAGAATATTGGCACGTCTTCCCTGTATATAGAACTACTTGCAGTAGTGAAACATTTTCCTAGATCTCGACTGCAATGGAGGCATCTTCACATCGACAATGCATCGGGCTCAGATAATTCAACATTCAAGGACCTGAAATGGCGCTATGCGATTTTGGCTTTTTTCCATTTGCGAAGCCACAACAAAAAGAGCGCAGGCTTGCATTCCTAGACGAGCTGGGAACGCGTAAAGCTATTTAGTAGACTTATGTCGTACCCTACATAAAACGCATAATTCTGTGGCAAGATTCATGAAGTCTGAAGAACTTTAGCATAGAGTATATTATAGATTTTTAAATTGTTTTAATGACATAGTATTGATTATAAATTAAACAACTCCCTCTAATTTTTTGTAGGTCTATCGGTGACATGGACTCAACTGGCTCTGTATCAGCAGTGGAATCAGCTCTGGACCGATTAGCAAAGCAACGTAATGACCTGGAAGAACTTTGGGCTGCCAGAAAACTGCGTCTGGATCTTTGCCTCCGATTACGCTTATTCGAGCGAGATGCTTTAGAGGTAAAATACACAACCAAACATTCTAGTAAAATCACCTTTCTAATATTCTTTAAATTGAGGCTTGTAATACTAAATGAACTGTAAAGCGTAAAAATGAAAATCTTTAGATATTCATTTTTGTAGTTACTGCAAAAGAACATCATGAATTCTTCCACTACTCCGAAATTTCATGTCACGTCGAAAACAGAATATTGCAAATATCTTAATAACACGGTACAAAGGTACACTTTAAGAATTCTAAGAGAAGGGTGAAAATGTTAAAAACATTTTTGTAGGTTTCATCACAACTGGAAATGTGGTCGGAAGAACTGCAACACAGCGAGCTAACCAGAGATATCGCCAAGGCAGAGCAATACTTACGCCTGCACAACGAGAGCGTTAGTCAAATGCAAAACACGACCTACCAAGTACTTCAACAAGGACAAGAGCTAGTGCAGGTGTTTGAGAACTCAGGGATTTGCGTGATGGCCGATGCGCAATACAATGCTCAAACTAGGGTAAGAATTATGATTATTGAAGAATGCAAGAGATAATATCCAAAACACTTACTCTGCTAAATTCACGACATTGCTAAAAGTAGATTGTTAGATGCTGTCATAATATTCCATTAGTAGTCAAGTCTAGACTTTTGCGAGTAAAATTCCGGAATGAGTTCATCCAATTGGTCCAAAAGATCATCAAACTAATAAAGTTTGTTGGTGTATTTCAGAATGAAGTACATAATGCTTACAGAATTTTATAAGAAGTGATACATCGTGGTGCAAAATATCAAAATCGTCGAACCTTAATTTCAAAGTCCGGGGGTCTGTTGGTTTATTTTAGCGGGCATGAGAATACTCATTATCAAGAACAAAACATCTCATTCCAAATTTTCCTGAACCTTTCATAGTGCTAAATGATATCTAGTATTGACAGGTGAAACTATAGGAGGGTTCATAAGAGAGGCCAGTTTCCATTATTGGCGCTCAAAATTAAACATTCTGCATACAAACAGTGGAAATCTATACAAACCTGTGCTGTGGTTCCAACGAAATGATATTACAGCACTCTCTTATTATTCATCACAGAAGCAGAAGATATTCTTTACATGACTGGTATTATCATTAATCGCTGCAGTTATTTGTTCACAAAACTCAACTCGCCTATGGAAATCATCTTCGGTTAACTCTTGCAATATTTTCATTTTGAATGGATGAAATTTATGGAGTTTAGTAACTGTGTGTACAGAGCCTAATGAAATATCAGTCGCAACAACAATTTTGCATAAAGAAGTATCAGGATTTATTCCAAAATGACCCAAAACTTTAACTTGAGCGGCTTCATCCAAAACTCTCCGATGATCACGTTTTTTATTTGCAACAGATCCAGTTTGAGTAAATTTAGTAACAAGATCCAAAACATACCTATGCGAAGGTATCGTCCCCGGATGTCTGGCGTTAAACTTGACGGCAGTTTGCCGAGCACACTGATTTTGAGCACCATAAATTAGAATCATTTCCACTCTTTCGACTTGTGTATAAACCATTTTGGAAGTTAAATCTGAATCAATAAATTACTTTTCACTATCCCAAGATTGTCACAAAGGTAAATGACAGCAAATTAAATTATTTCTTCCCCTTAGCAACAAATAACTAAACAGGTATAACAATAAATACAGTTCGCCCAGGATATCTGTGTTGACGGAAAAAATGCGGAAAAAATTCGGGTTGTTATTTGGTTGTTGCCACATCGAATCTTCCGAATTGGTGTTCATGTTGGTAGTTTCCGTTTTAAATTATAAACGAATTATCGATTTGGCAAACTCTAACGGGCAAAATAAAAAGTGATATCTTTGTGTGTTCTTGTTTTCTATTTGAACAAATTAAAATAAAGATTTTTATAATTTTCTCGAAAACGATTCGACCGATTTTAAAAAATCAATCGCCAAAATGAAGGACTTGTGGGGGGTGAAGTAGTTTTTGGTTAAAAAGTTGTACCCATTGACAAATCTTTCGACGTGTCTTGGCGCTTTTCCTTTTAATCAGTGGTTGTAGATAAATCCGTAGTGGGAATTTTTCAAATGAACACCCTGTATGATGTTCCTTCAATCTTCGCTGGTCACAACGGTGACCTTTCCAGTACAATGTGCAGATGAGCAATTCGCAGTTATAAAGCTAAAAATCTCATTGAAAGCTCTAGAGAACGCAGAATACGAGAAGAATGTCACCAAAACTTAAGAAATAACAATTTTCCATTAGTATAGAATATTCAACAAAATAATCTTCAATAAAAAGGTTATAGTTTGAACCATACCATCAATTTTTGCACAACCCTGTATTATTGTTTTCGAAGATAACCCACTATTACACCTTACACTGCTTTCATAAGAGACAAACCCAACTAAACCTGGACCAGTCATTATGCCATAATATTAAATTGTCGTTTTCTTTTTAGGTGCAAGTTCTGTTAGAGTTCCTCCACGACAGAGAAATGGAACTGGAAGACCTAGCCGAAATGAAACGCGTTAAACTAGAACAATGTATCCAACTGGGCCAATTCCAAAACGACGCAAACCAAGTCATCAGCTGGATCCGAAACGGAGAGTCAATGTTAATGGCCAGTTTCACCATACCAAACAGCCTGGCTGATGCAGAGTTGTTGAAGAAAGAGCACGAACAGTTTCAAGTAGCGATAGAGAAAACGCATACATCTGCCGTGCAGGTCAAGCATAGAGCGGATGCGCTGATCAGTGGCAATCACTATGACCCTCAGAGTATCAAGGATATTTCGGAGGAGGTTACCAAGAGATGGCAGCAACTGGTTACTTGTGCTGAGGAAAGGCATAAGCTGGTCACGGCTAGCTTGAACTTTTATAAGACCGCTGAACAGGTAACAATTATTCTTGACTTTTAACCGCAAATGTTTGTTCGTTATATTTGCTAAATTCATCGACGAGAAATCAAACGGACTCCTCACAGCCTTTATGCTATTTGGAAGTTTTTTTTTTGAAAATTTCATGTGGTGTAGATATGCAGCAAATAAACCTAAATGGCCCTAGGATCTTAATGGGTCATTTACGATATAAGGCGGACTTGAAATAGCCATTTAATATATTTACTTTTTCATCACCACCTTAACAGAGATTCGAATCTGGTTACAGAAATCGGATACTTGATTTAAAATATATATCAATTAGTGAACCATTCTGAATGTTCGCTGTGTGTTAATGATTTTGTAATTGTTGTAAATTTGTGAAGTATTAACTTATGTCCACTTAAGGACATTGCAATATCGTATTTTATCACGTTTTAGGTGTGCTCGGTATTGGATAGCCTAGAAAGAGAATACCGCCGGGACGAAGACTGGTGTTCCACAGGACAACCGAACGTAGACAAAGCAACCGCAATATCCCAACTGATCAACAAACACCAGGAGCAAAAGGAAGCCTTTCTGAAGGCTTGCACCTTAGCCAGGCGAACGGCAGAAACCTTCCTCAAGTACACCACGAGGAGTTTGCAGTTCTACAACTACCCCAACACAAGCAGCAATCATGAACAGAGGGTTAAGGGAATCTTGGAAAAATTGTTGAATCAGGAAAATAAGGTTTTGGAGCACTGGACGCACAGAAAGAAGAGGTTGGATCAATGTCAGCAGTTTGTATTGTTCGAGAGATCGGCTAAGCAAGCTATCGAGTGGATACATGATACAGGTAGGACAATAGGAAAAAAATATCCGATATGTTCAAATACAACTTTGTCACATTTTCATCAAAATATTAAAAACCTCTGTTCCCTCTTACGCTAAACAAAAGCTTGTTTATAGGAATTTTGATTCACAATTTGAATACGTGCAACAACCACCTCCTCACATTGCCACAATACAGGGCAGCCATATTTCAACGTTCTTTCGCGCTCAATGCGGTGAAGTTCATTAATTTATTTGTGCAAAGCTTTATTAGCAACTTTTCCCAAAAAAAAACCTTTATTAAGTGCTTCATTGCTTTTTTTCTATCCAGTTTGAATTAGATGTTCATCTTATGTCTCTGCCTGATGCGTAGGATTGCTACAACTAGGCGATATACTTAATAATAATAATAATAATTGGTCTTTATTAAGGAATACATTACATTCATATAATGCTCCTTAAAAGGCGGAGTCTAGAAAACATCTACTCTACTCGACCTTTCGGAAAAGGATTTACAATAATAAATTGAGTAAAAGAAAAACAGGCTCAGAGAGCAAAACAGAGCGATTTGAAATAACAAAAACTACACATGACTTTAATTAACAACGCAGCAATCAACACATTGAATCCCATACTCAATCAAAAAAAATATTATTCAATTATTTTTCCCGACTTTGAATCATATTTTTTAAGATTGTAGATAAATCTGCAACAGCTATTTTGAAACTTTTGTAATCTATTTTTCTATGCAGCATCCAGACATGGATAATAACTGGTGATACAATAAGCAATAATAGGGACTATAGGAGATTCACATAATTTTACAATTTTCCGTGTTTTACAATTCATAATATGCTTATTGCAGAAAAATCGTTTCAAAACGAAGTAGCATTTTTTATTGTAACGGATAGTTGTGCTTTGAAGCGCAGGGAGCTATCAAACGTTAACCCTAAATTTTTAGCTGAATCCACTAATGGCAATAAAACTCCACCAATTTTTATAGTAAATTATCACGACTATTGTTGGAACAAAAAAGCATAACGGAAGACTTAGAAGAATTTAATTTCAAGTTATTGTTCTTGGAGAAATTTAGTATTCCATTGAGATCACTATTAATATCTTTAACTGCTTGAGAAACATTGGATGGAGTAAAAGCTTTCAGCAGCAAGTGTGTATCATCAGCGTAAGCTATAATTGACAAATGGGAAACAGGAAGATGGATGTCTGTCGTGGACACCAAAAAGAGAATGGATACAAGAACGGAACCTTGCGGCACGCCGGAAGTAATAAAAGATGGCTCAGGAAAGTTGTCATTTACAGAGACTATTTGCTGGCGCCCTGAAATATTTGTTTGGAAAAACTGGAAAGACAAACCAAACAAATAATTTTGAGTTACATTTTTTCTATCAATGATTATTTTCCTGTTGGCGTCAGTTTTAGGTTAAGGCAGCAATTTGCCCATGAAATGATTAAGTATGAACGGTCATTGGTAACTGTGGTACTGTACGTATTTGTTACAATAAAGTCGATTGAATTGAATATACTAATTGATATTGGACTGAAATATTTGTGCCTGATACGTGCAATATAAAATTAAACCGACAAGGAAAATAACAGACGCTTAGTCGATTTGAGGTTAGGAACAATTTGAATCTTAAACTGACAATTTTTTATCCACCGCGTGCGCGGCGACCGATTACAACTTGCGTGTGCTTAACTTCTTTTGTAATATCTGCGCTCGAAAATGTCCGATTGACCTGGTTGTCTTACTTCCAGTTTTGTTTTGTGGTTTATCTTCCATAGACTCGAAAGAACGACTTAGTATAAGATTCTATTGAATTTAAATTTTTTTCCAGGTGAATGTTACTTAACAACACATGCAACGAACTTAGGTAATAACGTAGAAGAAACAGAAAGTCTTCTTCGGGAACACAACGAATTTAAGGGAACGGCAAAGGAAACAAGGGAAAGGGTGAAACTGTTGATCCAATTGGCAGATAGTCTGGTTGAGAAAGGGCATGCCCACGCAGCTTCAATCAAACACTGGGTCGCGGCTGTTGACAATAGGTAAGATTCTGTTATACTACTCATTTGTTGAGTCCATAACAATTCATTAAAACTGCATTTTTTATTTAGTTACTTTCGTTTGATTCTATCCCAAATTCTCATAAAGTCAATCTCAATATACACTTTTTTAAAAATTGTATAGCACGATTCATAAATTGTTCACAAACCCAAAACACATGGTATTCCATAACATGAGACAAAGGATCAAGGGGAAATTATTTGGTCTATTCTAAGGCTTTGTTTTGAAAATTAATATAAGTAAAGTTTTTCATTATGAAAAGCTGCATGTGTCAGTGGGAATATATCACCTCTCGATTGTTTGCCCTGTATATGCTGCTGCTGTGCAAACAACATATACCGGGTGTTTCAAATTCGACTCTCACAATTTTTATCTTGGAAATAGTAAGACATACAAGTGGGAGCAAATTTGTGCATTTTGCTTTCTAAAAAAACGGTAATTCCAAGTATTTCAGGAAATTGACGAAAAGAAACAAAATCGTTGTTATTGTTTCCTGGAATAAAGATGGGATTTCATAATAAAAAACATTATCATTGTCACTTTTCCTCCTCTACAAGGTGGCATAATTAGAATTCAAATATAACGGCTGTTCTCTTGTCCTTATCATTTATTTTTCTTATAGATGCTATATTGGATTTCAAAAAATGGATAATGTATCGTAGATTGACTTTGCTAAACCTTAGATGTTTCAGAAAGAAATCCGACGTAAGCTCTGAAATTATCAGATATTCATTTCTCTCATAATATCATTAGCCAAGCATTAATTTTTGAACTAGGCATACAGTAGCGGACTAAAGTTTGGGAACAAATACAAATATTATTATCGACTATTTCATATACCTAACTTAAAATGGTAAAGGAATAGATAATATAAATACAATATATGTCTACCTTTGGCTCCCATACTAATACAAGGTTTATCTTACCAATATTTAAATTCTGCGAAAATAAAAACACGCATTTTTTTAAATACTAGTTTTTGTGATGACAGAGTATGGAAACATTTCAGTTTTGTCGTATTTATTCGTTCTGCGATACTTGCTTGTGGTAAATATTAACATGAGTGAGAATGGCAAAAGTTAAGAGACAAAGTAGCTGAATTATTTAGAAGTGGTGTCAGAAATGTTGACATTTCTCTAAGATTAAAAATGAACAAAGGGACGATTTCGAAAACTGTAAATATCAAGCATACGTATCAACGGCAACGCGGCCCAGGTGCGGAAGACAGAAAAAACCGATTATGTTTTGGATCGCTACATTAAACGTTTGTCCCATGAAGATGCTCGAATGCCAGCTACACAGATTTTCAAAAGAATCGTAGAAGAGGGTGCCGAGAATGTGTCTGGCAGAACAGTGCAGAGACGCTTGGTGGATTTTGGGCTTTTTGGTAGGCGTCCAGTGCAAAAGCCTCTCATTTAAAAAAAATCGTATTTCGCGGCTTGAATTTGCTAAAACTCATCTAACTTGGACAGAACAACAATGGAATACATGTACATTTTTATGGAGCGATGAAAGCAAATTTACCTTGTTTGGATCTGACGGTACGGCATATGTGAGACGTCCAACACGAAAAAGATTCGACAAAAAGTATCAGTTGCCAACAGTTAAGCATGGTGGAGTCAACATCATGGTTTGGGGCTGTTTTTCTAGCTCAATTGTTGAAATTGTTGGAAAAATGGCTCAAAAACTTTACAAATATATTCTTAGTGAACACATGCCCCCTTTTGCTGAAGAATAAATGGCTTTACGAAGGAGATTCCAGCAAGATAATGACCCCAAGCATACCCCAAAATTCGTAAAGGACTGGTTAAGTCTAAAAAATGTTAACGTTCTTACATGGCCTTCGCAATCCAGGGAGCATGTTAAAAGACAAGTTACAAGAAAAACTTTCAAAAAGAGGAACGATTTATTTGATTATGTAAAAAATATTTGGCAAAATGTCCCAACAGACGTTTGTAAAAAATTGTTGTCTTCTATGAGCAGCAGATGTCAGGCAGCGTTGAATGCTCAAGGCTATGCTACCAAATATTAGCTAAACAGTATTTTTTAAATCTTTTTGCAGAGTTATTGTATTTAATTTTTCTAACAAAAAATGTTTCCATTCTTTCGTCGTCTCATTTTTGGTCATAAAATAATATAAAGCTATTTTAATGCTAGTCTGTAGTACCACAGCAAACACAAATTGTCATTTGCATCCTCAAGACTGTAAGCAAACTATATGAGAAAAAAAGATGTCCTTAATAATAAAAAATAAAAAATTAGAGCACTTTTTGAAAATTACTAAGAATGTTGCCAAACTTTTGTCAGCTACTGTAGGTGAGCAGCTCTATTTCCGATTTTAATGATGTGATTTATGATATTGTACTATGTATCATGACATGGATTGATATTATAAAACTTCAAATATCTAAAAAAGTAATCTTCTTATAGTTGCTCTTAACTCGTCGAATAAAGAACAATCTAATGCCAAAACTTTTTCATATAACACTCAGTTTCAAAATAAACGCAACAAGCACTTTTGGTCAAATTCGTAACGTCATAACTTTTTTATTTTTTACCCTATTTAACTGATTACTCGGGCAGGCGGTAGGTGCGCTTTCTGGTTGTATTGTGTAAATATGGGTTTATGATTGTAGTCGCGGTTTGATTTTTGTACAAGGTAAATCACCTCAGGAAGGTTATAGGACAGCAGTCCTCTTCTGTGTTCATCTTAATACGTTACAATTTTTTATCTATCACCTTCATTATGCAATTTGAACATGAGCCGCTCTGTATAATGCAAAATATGCCTAAATCATGCTCCCTCACATTATCTAGGAGCAATATTCCACTCGAGAACGACTAGACGGCGCCGATCTGAAGAGTGTTAATATTGATTAAAAAAATCATTTTATTCCAAAAGAACAATCCTCTCTAAAATGTTCAGGAACTTTGAGGATAAGCGAGATACGATTATTGCTCTGACACTGTATTTCAAAAGGGTAGAGTGTGAAATATTACACAGCGTGTTCTTAAATTAAGTCAAAAGTTTTCGTTTTCTTCGCCACTGCAGATAAACGATATCAATGGCGATTTAACAATAATTGAACCTAAACCAGAAACGCAATAGATATCTGTACAATTTGGTGAAACACTTTTTGAATTTTTTGAATTCGTATAGGAATTGAAAAAGATATGGAAGGAGGAAGGAAAATTGGTGGTAAAATGTCAATTTGCCTCTAAAACTTCAATTACTGTATATAATGATGTGATTAAAATAATCAGATTATAGAGACAATGTGGTTCTTGTTAATATAAAGCGTTGCGGTCTGATTGTCAACTGGTAGTATGTGCAATATTCTTAGTTATCTAAATGTGCTTGCCCCCCATTTAACTGACTAAAATTGGCTTCCTTGAATCCAGTAACGCTTATCAACAATATGTAAGAAATTATTAATATCTATGTATAAAATTGTGGAAGAATATTGTTTTCCACGTAATCTTAGGAGTACAAGACACATATTTTGGATGATTATATGGTATTTAAAATTCAAATATTTGTGTTTACGGATACCATTCAATAGAAAATGATAATAACAATAAATGATATATAAGTATTGGATGCTTTTTAATATATGGTGTTGAGTGTCTAAGGGTTGCCTCTAGTTATTGATCGATTTACATTTAAATTGCTATCAAGTATGTTATTACGATCTGCAATACAAAAACTGGAGCACAAAAACGGAAGGGTACCTCATCGCTGTTTTAATTGTTTACAAATTATCGAAAGTAATGTGTATACTCATAAATTTTTATAGTTTCGGTGTATTATGTTCTTACCTTGTAGAGAATATATTTATTAGAGCCAGTCTTCCCGTCTTGCCAGTTTTGAACCGACGCGAATCATTTTGGATGAATGATTGCTAGTAGCTTTTGATTTTTTTATACAACGCAGGTAAGGTGTTGTGCGGAAATTTTCTTTTTTACACATTTAATAAATAGAAGTACAAATTCTGTAAACTTACACTTGATACACTCTTACTTGCCGAGTCAAAATATTTCGATAAATCACTTAAAATGTAGATGTAAAAGAACTAATGGAGAACATGTAACAATTCTGTAGAATTGTTATGCAAATTATATAATGGAAAGACAAAAAAATGGATTATACCTACTTGTATGTTAGGTACCATACTGATAAAGAAACGGCATTTTATCGTCGAGGATAGTGCATAGACTAAAAATAGTTTTTAGTATTATTGGAAAATAATATCTTGATACACTGCTAGTTCAGATATCTGTCGTATACACTGCTATCATTAGCAGTACTGTTTCTTACTAGGTTATTTCATTTATTTGGTATTCAGCGCGAAACATCGGTTTGTGAAAATTATTTTATAGCATTTCTCATAATTCTAATGCAGATATAAGGACTTCAGTTCTCGTATGGAACAGTACAGACAGCAACTGGAGGAAACTTTAGGCATTCAAGAAGAAGAAAGTGAGAAGAAAGAACTGTCTATCGATAGAAACTCTGATCCAAGCTTAGAAGCTAAAGTGAAAGAGGCAGCTGTCAAGGAACTAAAAGAACTAAATGAGGAAAAGCGGAGGTCTGCTAGGAGAAAAGAGTAAGTTGTTAAAGATTGAACTGTTCGTGTTGTCATTAATACCGCATGTATATAAAAGATTGTGTGTCATTTCCTTTACAAAAAAAGAAATCTTGCTCAATCGACTTATCCTGATCTCATCTAGCTATAGTAGCTGTATATTCACGGAATTTTGAAATATCCGAATGATCAATTTTTAATACATTTCCTCATTTTTTAGGTTCATAATGGCCGAGCTACTACAAACTGAGCGTACTTACGTTAAAGATCTCGAAACATGCATCAATTGTTTTCTGGACGAAATGCGTAGTTCCAACAACGTACCACCGGCGCTGCATGGTAAAGAGGAAGTCATTTTTGGGAACATGGAGGAGATCTACAATTTTCATAATTCCATCTTTCTGAAGGAATTGGAGAAGTAAGTAGAACAGGATATCAAATCAAATAATAGTAGCAGCTTGTTATATATATTCCGAGATCTAGAGCTTTTCTTTAACTTCACATTTACAATGAATTACTCGTCAGTTATTAGTAAAACAATCCCTCACAAACGTAAACAAGGTGTTTCCTTATTGAACGTCAGTACTTAAGGGGGGTATTTTTCATCGATTTGATGAATGTTCTAAACGTCTTAGCTTTTAAAATAAAGATGGTAAAGTTTTCAAAAATAAATAATTTATTATCAAGATCTGTGATACCACTTTAGATATTTTAATGAACATTGGCATATTATTGATATCGTCACCATGCTATATAGTGTAGCTATTTGTCTTGTCTGCACCTGTTGTGCTTGTATTTCAATTCTTGCAAATAAAATCTTATCACATATATCTACATGTTTTTGTTTTTTTTTTCAAGATACGAAACAATGCCAGAGGATGTAGGCCATTGCTTCGTCACGTGGGCGCAAAAGTTCGACATGTATGTCCACTATTGCAAAAACAAACCTGAAAGTAACTCTCTGCTTGTGCAACATGGTGGTGGATATTATGAAGATTTGCAGAAGAAACACAAGGTGGAACACCCCATAGCCGCGTATCTGATCAAACCGGTGCAGAGGATTACCAAGTACCAGCTGTTGCTGAAGGACTTGCAGAGTTGCTGCCAAGAAGGGCAAGGGGAGATAAAAGTTAGTGTTCTCATAGTGCGCGGTAATAAAGGGTTTTACATTAATGACATGACAACTTTCTTTTTGAATAAAACGCAAGCCATTTGAGATATCTCGAAAGCATTATTATTGGATTGAAGTATACTCAAAACATTTATGTATGGAATTCGACCTCGTTCATAAATGTCCACGACACAAACGGCCGCTGTCTCTCGTTCAATATTGGCTCTGGACTCCTCTAACGACGCCGGCTTGTTGGCATAGACCAATGATTTAATATAGCCCCACAAAAAAGTCTAGAGGTGTTAAATCACACGATCTAGGCGGCCATTCGACAGGGCCATTTCTCGATACACGTTCACCGAATTTTGATTATTTTACCCGCTGTGTGGCTTGTGGCACCGTCTTGATGTCTTGACATATCATTAATGTCTAGCCCATCCAATTGACGAAGAAAATAACGACGTGACATGTCTCTGAAGCTATCTCCGTTGACTGTAACGTGATGGTCATTTTCATCAAGGAAAAAAAAAACGAACCAATGACACCACCGAAATGAAAACCACACCATACAGTTATTTTTTGTGGATGCGTTGGTGTTTCTTGAAGCACATGAGGGTTTTCACCTGACCAATAATGCATATTCCGTTTGTTGACGAAGTCGTTTAGCCAAAAATGCGCCTCATCACTGAAGATGATTTTGCCTTGCAGTTGGTAATTTTCTTGCAACATTTCTAGAGCACAATTTAACTACGTACGTCGGTTCATATGATCGAACAGCTTTAGTCCTTGAGTCAACTTGATTCTTGAGAACGCCATGGAATCGTGTTCTGTTCGTTCGCGATGGACGCTTGAACGACAACAATATTCTCGGCACTTCGACCAACCCGTTGTCTCATTGGCACGGGAACATCTAGCAGCGAATATGTGGACTCAATTTTTTTTTACTAGACTAAGAATTGCTTGTCTACTGGGACGAGAATTACGACCAAAAATTGGCTCTTAAAGTTGCAGTCACCGACTCGGAATTTCGGTAGTAAATTAGAATTATTTGTAAGCGTTGTTCGTTCGTGTACTTCACCATGATGAAAATGTTCTTTACTGAATGTTTTAACATTGACAGTTCGGTAATTGGTTTAAAGGTGCATTCACAGTGAAAGCTCAGAGTTGTCAAGTCCCTATTGGAAAACCCGATATAATTTATTCTTTCCAAAAAATGATCATGCGATCCATATAGACTGACAGTCGAAGAAAGATATTATTTACGAGTTTCTCTCGGATTCTTGTGAACATGATACACAATCATGGTGTCAAGTAAATTTAGTATGTACTTCCTAAGCATTCATGTACGTCTCTTTTCCATATGTACAAATTGTAAACCCTCAATACGCAAGTGCCCTAAGTATCATATATCTAACTTGAAAAATTAACCATTAACCATACCATATAATTCTTGAACCATCAATAAAAATTTTCTATGTGATCAGAAACTTGAAAAACAACGAAAAACAATAAAAACAGATTTTGGTTATCATTCAACATTTTGTTTGACATGCTCAAACAGTTCAATTGTGAAACAAACTGAAACTTTATGTTTTGTTTTTGCACATAAGGCTTACGCTAATGTATCGGTTTTCAAATAAAGATTATCTATGGTGATAGCAAATCCCTTTAAAAAGATCGGTGTTGTCATTTCCGAAATCACGAAGTTAGAAAAACGCCAACTAATCGACAATCAATTAGAAACCGAAAGCGGCTCAGGAATTTGCAATAAAAAGTGGCGATTTTACTTCTCAGAAGTTGAGGTAACACACATTGCTTCATGTTCCATAACGTTTGCATTAAAGTTCATACAATTCATTTTCGTCAGTTTGTCTGTCTGCCTGTTGGCGCTTTTCTGTGTGATTTCAAAAACCACTGCACCAAGTATGATGTTTTAAAGGAATATGCTGTGGGTTCGGTGTAGATAATGTTATTTCACTTTTGAGTAAATTTTGAATAAAAATAAAAAGTATCATTTCATTGAAACTTTCTCTTTGTATGTCTCACAACATTTTTATAATTTTTGGGCTCAGTAAAATGAATGCGTTGAATCACTTTAGGATCTAGTAAAAAAAACTGGGGAGATACAAAAAAATGAAATGTGACAAGCGCTTTTTTGATTTATCTATAATGATAACTTACAAGATTTATTTTCGATCTTGAACTTTTTACAAAGAATCACGGTCTATATGTGAGGTTTTCAGCACTGAAAATAACTCGAATTTCAAGTTGATTCCATTTATCACATATTTGCTTTGGAATATTTTAAAACATGTGAGAAATTGTTGCTCCACTGAGCTCATAATAAAAAAAAAAGATTGAAGAAAATTAATACACAATAGTAATGACATATTTTTTTTTTGAGAACACTTATTTTTGGTGTGGACTCCATTATTACGCATGGTATCTGACAAAAAGTGTAGCCAGCAGTATACTCCAGTTGGTAAATATGTTTACCTCTACAGGGTGATTCGTAACTACGTGGTGACTCAACCACGTATTTTTTTATGGAAAGCCCAGCATTTTATTGCATCTTTGAATAGTCCCCTTTTAAAGAAATCAGTTTTATATAATATACTACTATAGGGTTTTATTTTCCAGTTGTTGTGATACTGGATGATCTATCGAAATGAGAAACACTTTGACAACACTGCTACAGCTGGAATACTGACTTTTCGTCAGATAAATGTTATGATTTCATATTTTCTTCCTACCCACTTACTTCTTCAGCTTTTTAATAGCTCATACAGAGTGGTCTAGAATGCAAGATTTAGAATTTAAAATTTGTGTCGTTTTCATCATAAAATAAATCTACCCTACCTGATGCAGTAAAATCGCAAATTCGAGGTGTCCTTGTATGTTTGGGCATCATCGAGCCTTAATCATAACCAGTCTCACAAACTCCCATAAATCTTATATCGAAAGAAAGCTTGTGGAAAGGGGAATCAAAAAATGTATAAATATATAGTAGGGTGTTCCATTTGAATATTTTGAGAAATAGGACATGTTACGTTCTTAATCACCCTGCATAAACTATCCAAAAAAAACTGAAAAGTAAGTAGATGGGGAAACCTTTGAAATAACAATTTTTTCTGACGAAACATTCAGTATTGCAGATACGCAGTTGTCCAAAAATGAGTGTTTTTTTTGGACATTGTTCAATATCTCAACAATTTGAAAACAAAACTCTAGAATATGTTATATTAAATTGCTTCATTTGAAAATACCTATTCAAATCTGCAATAAAATGTAATCGCTTTCCACCTAAAAATGTAGGGGTCACCAAATAGGTATAAATCACGCTGTAAAAATAAAACTATTTTCCAAGTCAGGAGCATTAAAAACTCACCGTGTATGTTTTGTGTCTCAGTGTGTTTTATTATAGATTTGAAGTAAAAATAAAGTTACATATCCGAAAATGGGCGAATTTCTGACAAAGTAGTGAACTTTGAACAATTAAGGGCTGAAATAAAAAGAAACATAAATGAATTATGAAAGTTTAAAATACTTATATGTTCCCAGGGTGTTTTCAAAGTTGAGTCATTTATTGTAACTGCTTGTAGGACTCATCAAAAGGAGTTGATGTACCAAAAATCGCCTATATAAAAGTTGCATAATAAAAGAAATAGTAAAAGATTAAACATTTAAAAAAATAAGAATGTTATTACACAGATTTTTTGATATTCTCGACCACTGCCATGTAAAATCTTTTTTTGTTTACTATTCTTATCGTTTACCTAAATTTGGCAAAATTTTGTGTTATTGTATGGTTTTTTCAGTCTTTCAATGTGCGTATACTTTCATTTGTCTGATTATTTTGTGCGAAAAAATGGCCCATATTTACAAAAACAATGTACTAGTGGATATAATACTAACACGGAGAGTACCAACAAAATGCTGCCGCAGCTTGCAGGTTGTATGCGGAGAGGTCTCCTTTAAAATATCATCCAGCCCCACGGATGTTTGTAAATTTAGTTATTAGACTTCGTGACACAGGACATTTAAAAGAACAACGAGGAAGACCTGCTCAACCCGAAATTGAGGAAGATATTTTAGAAATGGTCGAAGATGACCCAACAATGAGTACTAGAGCCACAGCAGCTCACGTTGAAGTTTCTTATAGCAAAGTGTGGAAGACAATACGATAAGAATAGTATTATCTTTATCCTTATCAATATAAGCGTTACAACCTGAAGATCATTATAGAAGAGTTGCATTTTTCAAGTGGCTTTTAGAACAGTTCGGCAGAAACGATTTTACGAAATTGATTTTGTGTACAGTAGAGGCCACATTTACACGAAATGGAGTGCACAATTTCCACAACGATCATGTTTGGGCAGTAGAAAATCCGCATGCTGTAAAAAGAACTCATTTTCAACATATATTTTCATTAAATGTTTAGGCTGACGTGGTAAATGGCATACTTATTGAATCCTACTTTTTGCCTCCTCAACCGACCGGTGAAATTTATTTAGATTTCCTTCGACGCAATCTGACACAATTATTAGAAGATGTTCCTCTAAATCTGAAAAAGAATATGTGGTTCCTACATGACGGGGCTTTTAGACGAGAAGTTCATTAACAATAATGAGTTTCCGAATAAATGGATAGGGCCCAACGGACTCATTTCTTGGCCTGCTCGCTCTCCGGATTTAACGCCTTGTGATTTTTTCTGTGGGGTTATTTGAAAAAAATGGTGTATCATGATGGAGCAGTAAATACCCTTCATCAGCGCACTGAAAATGCTTGTTATTTAATTCGTGGACACTAGGATTTTATTTCAAGCAAAATTTACGTTAATCGAACAAATGGGGACAATTTTGAACAGTTTTTATAAAAACGGTATCCATTTAACTTGATAATGAGTTTTTTTAAATAATTTGTAATAATGTAAACTAACTCTTATTATGCAACTTTTAGATAGGTGATTTTTGGTATATCAACTTCTTTCAACGAGTTCTACAAGCTGTTAAAATAGATAACTCAACTTTAAGTATTTAAATGCGGTCAGCTTGACGTTTGAGTTTAGGGCAGCTTATAGACCCTAGTCCTAGTATTGAAAGATTTTTTTTGTATAAAAGATTTTCCAAAACGCTCTTCCCGAAGGCATTCTAACTACAATTTTCCTATTTCAGGATGGCCTAGACGTAATGCTTAACGTTCCGAAAAAAGCAAACGATGCGATGCATCTATCGCTGTTGGAAGGCTGTGATATTTCCGCCGATAAGCTCGGCGAGGTGGTACTACAGGACGCGTTCAGCGTCTGGGACCCGAAGCAGTTGATCAGGAAGGGCAGGGACAGGCACATCTTTCTGTTCGAGATGTACCTGCTCTTTACTAAAGAAGTCAAGGACTCCGCCGGGAAAGTCAAGTATATTTATAAGAATAAACTGATGGTAAGTTGTTATAGATATTTTGTCAAATGCAGGGTGTAGCCAAAGTTGGAACTTTACAGAGCATATAAGTCAGGCCATAATAAGCATGTTTCTGTAGTATCATACAGGGTTTGACCGGAAAGTAATAGGGCTGAGTCGATTTGAAAAAATTTATTAAGCCAATCGTTACAATTCTTTAAAAACTTTCAAAATAGGCTCCTTCTGCGTCGATGCAGCACTGCCATCGCGATTTCTAAGCATTGAAGGCGTGAAGCCTGGCCTGGCCTGAATACGTTAAGATTCATACTATTTTTTTTTTCAACTCAAATACAATATCACACTACCGCTGTCGTTTCATTTCTTCCCTCGCACATATGACTATTATCTCATGACATGAAGGATGGTCGTCGTCGTCGTCGTCATCGGTCGCAATTAGGCCAGGCTAGGCTAGGCTAGGCGAGGCTCCTCTCATGCATATGTATCCGTACAAATTTCTTACTACCAAAGATAGGCTAGGCGAGAGACTACTCTCATGCATAATTATATATCACGATTACACTTTTCTCACTCACTACTTTCTCCATTTCTGCGGGTCACATGGTATTCGGCCTTTATGGCATAAGTGACGTCATTGGGGTGGGTCACCTGGTCTGTCACGTGGTCTTTGGGCCTTTCTGACCTGTTTGGGAGGGGTGGGCGGGGTGGCTGAGGCAGGTTGGCAGAGTGAGTTAGAACCGATGTTGCTTAACTACTCTCACCAAATGAATAGTGAGTATTTTTCTTCAATTTCTTTTTCACGATTTCGGTGTTGTTTTGCCCGAAATTAGCTTTGGTATCGCAAACGTAGTTGACTCTGAAAGGGATAGTTGCAACTTTGGGGATACCCTTTATAAATATTTGCCTTAGTCTTTGGATACACAGGATATTTCAGAATGTGGTCAGTAAATTATGAGCAACTTCCTAGGAGGTAAATAGGCTTCTAAAGAAGGCTAGTAGACATTTATTTTCTCGAATAACTTCTGAACGACACTATCATTTAACAATTTTTTGAACGCATACTTACCAATTTGAGCATCACATGACAGCCCCTACAGAAAATAGTTACATTGCTTATTTCTTCAAGAACGAACTAGCCCTAATACAATATTGTTAGTTTCCTTTATAGTCTGTCTAATAATCGCTCCAAGACCATAGTTTTGAAAAGCCTGATATTTACCTTCAAAAATGTATTTCTGTTTGATGTGGGATAGTTGAGCAGCTCATAAGTGATCTCAATTGGTCACTATGCTGTGAAAATTCGTCAAATTGTACGTTGACGTTCAGAAGTTATTAAAGAGAAACGTGACGTCTCACTGTTCTTATTTATTTTTTTTTTGATTTTATATAATATTGAAAAAAAATTTCACATATTCAGAGGCTGTGCTTCTGAGATAACTGAAATGCAAAAATGGCTCACAACTGAAGCTCATGTTTTTCAACAATTTTGTTTTAAAATATAGCTTAGTAGAGTATAGTAGAGTTTCGTTTTTGAAGGCAATTTTTATTATCAGTCAAATAAACACATAAACATCACAACGTATGAAATACGACTCGACCGGCATTATCTGGAAAGTGTCAGCTGAAATTGGAAATCGCCATTTTGTTCTGTAATAATCATCTGAGAACTTATATCACCATCACCAGTTACTTACCAATTTATCTCAAAGGAACTACATGAACACTTTATCATCCATTACACCACTCATCACCATTCACTGTCACTAAGAAAACATTTATTTAGCAACACGTTGTTCTTTTCTACAATAATAACTGTCACCACTCTCTAAGTCCACCATGAGTTTATTAACTTCAGATTTTGTGAAATTTGTTTTGGAAATACGCCACTGAATATGTTTCTCCACCAATTATCATTTATCACCATCACCAGTTACTTACCAATTTATCTCAAAGGAACTACATGAACACTTTATCATCCATTACACCACTCATCACCATTCACTGTCACTAAGAAAACATTTATTTAGCAACACGTTGTTCTTTTCTACAATAATAACTGTCACCACTCTCTAAGTCCACCATGAGTTTATTAACTTCAGATTTTGTGAAATTTGTTTTGGAAAAACGCCACTGAATATGTTTCTCCACCAATTATCATTTATCACTCTGAACCGACTATCTTCCTCCAACCAATGAGAAACGTTGTTGGGAATGGTTGATACACGTTTTTAGCGTAGTATCATGGTAATTGGAATAGGTAAAAAGAAGACCCAAAAGGCTGATTATTTCACTAAGGATATTAAGAAAAATCATTCTCTGGAAAACAGCACCTGTGATTAGAAATTATCATTTTATGATTACGTGAGAACCTGACAACGTATCAACACTCACCAACAATTTGTTCTACTTTTTTCTTAATAGACATCATTTTAAACATAATATGCAAAACAAACAAAATAATGTCCCTATTATGTGATAGATCCAAATATTTTTGATGAAATAATGTATATTTTTGATGTGAAAATCCAGATAAACCTTCACAGCCCCGCATAACTTCAAATGCACTAGCAGCCCACTACCCACGCACGACGACTCAAAGACAAAGGCATAAAACAGTGTTTTTCAAAAAGGTCCGCATATTTTTTGAATGCAACAAGCTAGCAAGCTGAAATTTAGGTAATGGAACTGATGCCTGAATACTATATTTTAGCGTAAAAGTAGCAAGAGGGTCGTGTGTCATCTCATTTTGAAGATCTTATGAGCATACTGTAACCCAAAAATATAAGTGGCGAACTGGTAGGCTATCTAAGTTTAGCGTTTTTGTACATTGAGTCGTTTATAGCCCAACAACTAATCATGTATTGTAAAGTATGAAACATTCAATTAAAAATGTCAATATCGGACATTTTTTAAACTGATTATCTCATGTTTTATTGCAGATTCAGATTGAACCTTCCAAAGGAAGAAGATTGATACTACGACATTTTGATTTTTGGTTGAGTTATGAGTGATACAATATACAAAAAAAGCTCACCTTTGACAGCTTCCGAGTCCGCCATTTTAAATGATAGTGATTTTATATTCTAAAGTTATACAGTCCTAGGAAGGATCTTCAAAATAAGGTACCACATAATCCCGTATCTGGATTAAAAAAAATGTTTCAAGATAGAGTCCATCCGCGATCTTGAAATGTTTGGATGTTATTTTTACGTTAAAATATTGTGTCAATTTCGTTAGCCCTAATTTCAGATTGCCAACTTAACTCATTCAACAAATAATTAGGGGCGTGCATTTATGAAAGGGACTGTTCGTACGCATAGTTACATATTTTTTCAAAAACATTTACGGTACAGAAATAAATTAAAAAAAACTGCGAATGTCAAGATCATTCGAACCTTAATCGTCGCTTAGGGCGCTACAATGTTTTTTATATCTTTCTCCGAGTACTAAAAATTCGATAAAACACGTTCGAGTCCAAAATTTTGTATAACCTCAATACTTTCAAGAAACTGGATCATGAACTGGATCCTAGTTCAGAGTTCTAAGTATAAAATCGTTAAAATGTATGATCAAATGCAGTGAACGATGTAAAATAAAATCATGCATGCAAAACACTATGAAAACGACTCACCGAGGCCGGATTTCTCTGGAAAACGGCACCTATAGATGGAAATCGTTATTTTATTTAATCATAACTGCATAAATGTTGCATACACTTTCAAAATTTCACAGTGTATCATTGAGTTATCTAAGAAAAAAGTAAACAGTTTAAAATCAAATAACAACTATGACGAAATCACTACTAAAAACGTGATGAAATACTGTTTCGAAATTTTGGGATATCCTGTATTAAATTGGATCAATTGTTCACTGAGAAGCAGTTCTTTTCCTGAAGATTTGAAATGCTCTACAATAACACCAGTTCCCAAAATAAAAAATTCTAAAAGATGCAAGCAGGCTTTCGAAACAAATATTCCACAGAAACGGCTTTCCAGTTGGTAACTGAGATTTGGAGAAGAGCCATAGACTCAGAAGAAGTTGTCATAGCAGTATTTCTGGATTTGAAGAGGACATTTGAAATGATTGATAGAGATATTTTATTAGGTAAATTGAAGGCATATGGTATAACAGGAAGTGTTTTAGATTGGTTTAGAAATTATTTGTCTAAAAGGATGCAAGTTACAAAAGTTAATGACACTATTTCATCAAAAATTGAAAATACGTTGGGTGTTCCACAGGGCAGTATCCTGGGACCACTTCTTTTTATTTTATACATAAATGATTTACATGCCATAGTCAGAAAATGCAAAATTCAGATTTTCGCCGATGACACTATGATTTATATAAGTACTGAAAATATTCAGTCTGGTATCTCTTATATGAATGAAGACTTGAAACTTGTCTCAAAATGGTTAGCATCTAACAGACTAAAATTAATTACAAGTAAAACGAAAGCCTTGTTAATCGGAAAAAACAATGTACAAATGTTCAACTGAATATTGATGGTGAAGATATTGAATTCGTAGAAAATTTTAAATACCTGGGGGTTTTTGTTGACTCTCGATTAATTTTTGATATTCATTATGAAAAAGTTATAAATAAGATTAGTAGTAAAGTGGGATATTTATCGAGAGTTTCTGGATGTCTGAGTTCATATAGCAGAAAAATACACCAGAAATAAAGATGACTTCCATTTAATGACCAAAAAGTATAACGTAGGTTACAAATCTGTATTCCATCAAGGGTTAATTGAATATAATAAATTATACTCAGAGATTAAAGACCAGAAAACTTTGCCAAAATTTAAAGTAAAATTGAGAAATCACTTGTTAAATCTACAATTATAGGTTGCCCAGCATTTACATCATACACCATATGGCTTGAATTTACTAGTTCTAAGTTGTTTACAATTATTCTGTTTATGTAGCCAAATGTGCTAAATAAGTCTTTCTACTACTACTTCTACATAAAAGAAATTTCACTACCTACCCGCCACCGGCCAGTAAGCTACACCGTCGTAACCAAGAAAATGCTTATTATCCTGCATTTTTCCTGATAGCAACAAATGGTATCCAGTTTTGATCACTTACACTACCCGATTTTAACAACTACAATTATCGCCTCGCAAAATTTCTTTCCAAAACTCCAAAATTTGGAAGGATGGACCGGCTAACTCGACGCGACAATTGACATTCCACCTCGACGCGCTAAACAGTCGGATGGTCAAAGCCAACTGCGTCGAAATTACCGAAAATCTACGCAGTGCTCAGCTGAAGCAAAAAGGATGCAAAACATCCTTGATGTTTTTTGTCTGTTTGCGCTCAGAGCGATTAGATAAAGATGGTCCGATGTTTTGATTTTGCGTTTTGATTGAATAAATAGATGTATGTTTTCGAAATGGTTGATATAGAACTGAAAATTTATATTAGGGCAAAGAAACGATAATAATAATGCAATTTTTTAATATAACTTTTTTACATGTGCTGAAAGAAGCTTTTGATATCCTCATTCTCGCTCTTAGGTTAATCTATGTTTTTACAAATGTGTAAAGGCATGGTGGTTTTAACTTAAAAAATATGGCAAATGATAAGGCATTTTTATAAATTGGCTCTGGCACTCCTAAGTGAAAGTAATCAAAGAAAATAAATTTTAAAACAAGATGTTCAGGATGCTTTCATTATCTACTGTTGGTTTATTGATATTTTTGTCACAGTTTAATCTCAGTAACCGCTGCACCAATTATAGTGGAAATGCTACGGGGGCATAGTAAACAAAAAACACCTGTCGTTTTGTATTATATTTTTCGAGTTCTCTGATCATCTTCCTAGTTTTAAATGCTCCCGTTCTGGTTTAAAGAATTTTTCCTTAAGCTTAAGATATTATTTCTCGAATAACGAATCTTAATTAATAGAAGATTGGCATCAAGGAGATCGACTCTAACCGAATTTCTAACCACGTAATTTCAAAAATAGCTGTTCCGATTTTGATAAAAATTATAGAGCTATCCGGTGATGATACTGCTTTGTGAAAATCGGAGCTATAAGCAGACGACAAACTTCAGATCGTTCTATTTTTTTTTGTGCGAGCGTATCTCAAAAATCTTTTTGGAGGTGTCAAATTTTTGGTTATTTTCCATCATTTGTTTTTCACTTTTTTAAGTTTCTAATTATTTATCGCGTATTTGGGAGGCTCAATTATTTAATTTGACAAGGGTCTTTTTTTAGTTACATAACTATATGTATTGACAAAGGTACTCGAACATCATTTGTATAACCAAGGATTTACAATTTTTACGTATGAAAACTTTAAGATCGTATTTGAATGTGTGGGAAACATTTGGACGATTATGGGATTTAATGGCGAAAATTTGCAAATCTTACAAATTTTATCTATTAGCGTTTTTCAAGTTACTGGTTTACTCTGTGGTATAGAATATAAACAGGATGTCTCAGAAATAATACGCCAGTGTGACACTGGAGGTAGATTGGCTTCAGATCAATCAGATAAAATCAACATGACCTTAGTAAAAGTTTTGTAATTTTCGAGATCTTTCCACTTCTAAGTTTTTTCAAAAAATCCCTACTTTTGCCCTTTTTTTGTTATGTATTTAAAGAACTTCTAACTTTTCTTCCTGGGCTACAATTAATAGTTGGTTGAGACAACCGACTATTCAATTCATGGAAAACTAGCACGATATGCTAAAAAGACCAAATTATTACATTTGATTTTAATGCGAAAACCTTTACTAAAGTTTGATTAATTATTTTTAAAAAATGTACAGACTGAATCAGCAAATGACTTTGAAAACTAGCTATTTAATGCTCTTTCAAAAGTAGTATACCATTTGTAGGTTCTTTTTACTAAAAACTGATCAATTGAAACTTTTTATCATTGAAGTCGTAATACTTGCGAAATACTACAAATGAAAAATAATAAGCGCAGCTGTCTTTTGTGTCCAAATTACAACCTTGTAGTTGCTGTTATTGCTTTTTATGTTAGCAAATGTCTTATCTCGCTATCCATTTTAATTTTTTATTCATTGTTGTATGCAGGCATCAAAATAATGAACAGAACATTAGGTTGTATTTTTTTATTTCCATTGATTTTTACAACATTCAAATCAAATAAAGAATTAGGAATCATTATCAACATCTTAAATTAACTAAATGAAAATCAAATTAAAATCCTGTAATGTAAATATTTCAAAATGTCTACTACCGAATTTTATACACAATCTTATTAAAAACTGTCCTTTTAAACGCCTTAAACTTAAATAGGATATTTTGCGTGCTGCTTGACCGATTCGATGACGCAGTTCTTTATAGCCATAACAGGCAAAAAAGGAGGAGTTTTTCGAAAAATCTTAAAAGTAGCAATATCTTGAAAACTAGAAAACTTTTACTAAGGTCATGTTGATTTTATCTGACTGATCTGCAGCCAATCTACTTCCCGTGCCACTCTGGCGTGTTATTTCAAGAACAATATCTGAAATTTAGTAGAGCCTCAATTTTGATTTACTAATAATACTTATATTTTGATAAGCAACAAGAACAAGAATGCTTTTTTAAACTTCAAATCTTCCAGGAAACCTTGTAGAATTCCAAGTCGCCCGACTGCATTTACATTTTACCGAATAGAAAATGACATCGTCCTCCAGTACAATAAGAAACGTGAATTTGTTATAGATCGTGTCAATCTACTTTCCATTTAATATGTAATTAATAAAATAATATATTTTGTATCTTTCAGACCTCTGAGCTTGGCGTAACTGAGCACATGGAAGGCGATGAGTGTAAATTCGCCGTGTGGACAGGCCGTGCTCCAATCATATCCGACTATCGCATCGTACTACGTGCTTCTTCGCTCGAAACTAAGCAACTGTGGGTGAAGAAACTGAGGGAGGTCATCCAGGAGACGTATTTCAGTGGTGCGCTGCCGCTGTCGCTACCAAAGAGCCCCGCTAAACTTAAGACGCATAGCCAGAGGAGCAGCAGGTTAGATACGTCAGTACAAATATTCAAACCAATCTGTCATAGAAAATTATTACCTGTTTGCAATTCCAATATTTTATTGTCTATAACGGGGGATATCATCTGGATGTTTTACATGCTAAAAAGCATTTATCTTGATCTGTTTGTTAGTATGTTTGTCTGGAACAAATCTTGACTTAACTGAACTAAATTTTGAACCTTAAACAATTTATCTGACATTTTTCATACACACCTGGTTCGCATGACAATGCAAAATGAATTAACTGCCTCCATTTTGAATCCAATATGGCGAATGCTATAAAATTCATCATTTGGGTATCAAATGAAAGGGCTTGAAAAGAGAAATCCCCAGTGGGAAAGTTCACTTTTTGATTTAAGAAAAAAAATACATACTTAATGAAAAAAAATTATTACTGTCAACATATTCGTAAATTCTGCGGCTTTTATTTATTAAATATCTCTTCTAATCGGGCGCGTAAATTCTGAAACACTTTCTTGCAGAGCTCCGGAGTGATGTTTGTTTCTCGTCGAATGTTGTCTTTAAGCTCCTCCAGTGTTCGTGGATTATTGGAATACACTTTTGATAAGACGACCCCACAAAAAATAATCGCATAGCGTGAGGTCGGGGTTGGACATAACTTTTTGAGGAAACATTGCTTTTACCGTGTCCATCCAAAAATGAAAGGCTGTTGTCGACCTCATCATCTTTTGTAAATTTTATCGAGGGTTTCAAGTTGCTGAGGTGCTTGAAGAACTCCTGTAGGTGGTCTATTCTATCGGAACCACAATTTTATTTTTCTTTCAGCGACTGCGATGGCCACTGACTCAAACCGCTCCATGTATAGGTTTGCGACAACTAGAGAGTAGTCCATCTTCTTGAATGTAGAAATCCTCATTTACTTGAAAGTAACTTTTCTTGAAGCAGTTTGTAGAACTCCCATTATACCCTCTAGTATAAGATTTGTCATTTCTTCGAGTCTTAAGTGCTTAATTTATTTGTGATCTCAAAAATTGTATAGACAATGGAAGTCCGCAATAAAACTTTTACTACTATCCGGCATGCTTATTATGTTGAAAATCCCAATCTGGTAGCTGCGGTTACAAAATTCGCACTAACTACTGTTCCATTCAAATATCCTACACGTGATCTATAGACAAAATTCGTAACGGCCGCTCTGCTGATATTTGCCTAGAGTAGCGCAACTCACATTTCACTAGCATGGTTTGTGGGTTACAGCCTCATAGGATACTATGATCGCGTATAAAAAGCGCATTTAGCTGCTCAAGCAGCAACAACTAGATTCTCCGGAGGTATGGGCAGTGGCCCCATCCTGTTGAAACCATGTGTTTCTGTGAAATCGACAGTCTTTTCTTACAATAGAAGCAAACAGTGTCAATCATGTCCTTGCATAGCTCGGAATTGACTTTCAATGCATGGCCGTTTTCATCTTCAAAGAAATACGAAGCAATAATATCGCTAGAGGATATGGCGCACAAAACAGTCACCTTTGGACTATGTAATTGTTGTTGATGTTTCTCTTTTGGGTTCGTTGGTGCCCAATATCTGTAATTTTGTTTGTTCACATAATCGTCTAAGTAAACATGGGCATCGTCACTGAAAACAACGTTCTCGAGTCTGCGCTGCGTAGGAAAAAGGTTCAACATCCGTTCAGCACAAGATTTCCGTAATACGTAATCACTTTCCTTTAAAGCATGGACTGATTGGATTTTATAAGGACGAAACTCCATGTTTTTCTCCATTATGCCATGCAGTGTTGACCTAGGGATTCCCAAAGCAGCGGAATGCTTCCATACAAAACGCCGAAGACTTGCAATCACTTACTCAACGAATATTTTCTCCAGTTGATACATTGGGTGTGGGGCCAGGAATAGGAAGAGTAGAGCCTGTTTCATGGAACCTCTTAATCCACTTTTTCAATAGGTTCTTACTTGGGGCATCTCTTGGTCGGCACTGTATCGTGTACAACATTTCCGATGGGCAGCTGCGTATGAATCATCACTCTTGAAGTAAGCTTCGATAGCAAAAGCACGTTGCGCTCCGGACCAACGTTCCATTGTGACTATTTAACACGCACGCCGAACGCGTCGATCAAGAACTATCCCCACTTAGTCGCGTTTACGGCTGCTGCTTAATTCAAATTTGAAATTGGACACCCAGTACAGTAAGTCAAGTTTCGGCATTCTAAATTCATTATGGTGTCCGAAAATTGGACTTTCGAGGCATCCCGTGCTCTATAGTGGTGAGAACATTTGCTACCAGTCGCTCTTCAAAAAGTTTTGGGGCATGATACACTTTCGTAAAATACAAGAAGCTGTTTCGTTGTGATTTCTAATTGAAATTACTACGAGAGCCCATGCTTGTATAATATTTATAGTCTAATCATATTGGTAAATTTTCGCGAAATAATTGTAAAGTCTGGTTTTATTGCTGAAAGTTGTTCAAGGGGGTATTTAAAACATGGACGCATACACCAATTTTTGTGGGAAAACTTTTTATTCGACACTAAAGAATGAGAAAACATGTTTTTTGAGATTCAATAGAAAGTATTGATAGGAACGAAAAAACTTTTCATATAAGATTTTTAGGTATTTATGAGACCTACAAAATAAGACCACACGTGAAAAGATCCTAGTAATATCAAAAAAGTTGTGGCAGAAAACCGATGCAAACTGGAGGTTTTGGCACTTGGTAATGCGACGATAGTTTCGCGCAGATACTTGAAATTCTTCAAATTCGTAGGATTCATACTTTTAAATAACCACAACAAAATTGGAGTAGATTGGTCAAGCAGTTTTTGAGAATTTTTAATTGTTTATTCCAATACACCTGTTTTCCGGCCATCACTACTAGTTTATTGAGCAATATACAGGGTTCGTCCAAAGGGCATTTTATAGCAAAATACTCTAGTTGACCTTGCCGATATGAATCGCAAATCATTCCGGAAGATAAATTTTATTTTATGTTATAAATTGGTGTACCCATTTTATGCGACCATGCTTTAAATACTCCCTTGAACAACTTGCAGCAATAAAACCAAACTTTACAATTATTTCGCAAACCAGTGGTATTTTCGCCTAATATGATTATACTATTACAGATTATGTATTTCATTACAGGGATATGGAGGAATGTAACTCCTTAGAAGAAAGTGTTGAAAATCTGGACAGAAACTCGCTAACCTCCTTTGGCTCTGGGAATACGACAGATTCAGATAAGGTGAGTGAATTTACATTTTACTGGCAGAGGAATATATCGTGTAAAATACACAATACTTCCGTTGACGAGGCATAATTCTGTGATTTTAGATTATCCCAATATTCACGGACGATGTGGTTGTAGCACATTCCTTCAGAAACCAATGACAATACTTCCAATTTTAACACAAAAAACAAGTTTCGACATGATGATTACTGAATTATCTGCCTAGTTTTCAAAGTAAATTTAACTAACGATTCAGTGCAATGATCCGTAGATTTTTGTTCTATTGTATATTATCGAGGTAAATCATAAATAATAATAATCAAAAGTGATATTTCGTCGTATTTTTTTTGACATTTCGTAGGTTTTCTTTGATATTTTGTAGGTTTTTCTACAAAACGTTAACGTAGTACAAACTGTTGAACACTTGTTCTAATCTCGTTTTGTAACCCTAAAAACTACGTAGTCTGCAAGATGACATTTCGTCGTTTTGCTAAAACTCTATTCATCAATTTGTCCAAAGTTTCAATCAATGGGGATTAAAAGATCGACCAAACGTTTTCCCTCAATCCGGAAATCGTCCTATTTAATTGAATTGACGACAGCTTTACCGTCGTGGCTAGCAGCTAAATCGACGGCTGGTTGGAAATATTAATTAACATCTCTGGCGCAAATCCCGCACTAATTACGCCAATGAACAGCAGGGTTCACAAGTGTGTTTACAATTTTTAACGAGTGGTTCGTAGCGGTTAAAGAGAAAATTCTTTTATGCTGGAAAAGATTGTAGAATAAAATCAACATAAAAACTAACTAAAAAAAGTAGTAGTGGAATAAGGGTTCTAAGGCCTTGCTAACTCGACAAAGTTTTAAAATATTCACCTAAAGGGTTTTCCAATAAGTTGTTGAAATGGAATGAATACACGCTGTTTGTGAGGTGTGACAATTTTTTTTTCGTAACCATCTTGAAAAATCACAATTATCCACAGCACCCTTTTAAGGAGAAGTTACATTTGTCCTCCTAAGTAAATAATGCAATGAAAAAACTCTAGCCAAATAGCGAATGTGTGTACTCACCTAGAGCTTTGGTTTGTTGGGCGTTGTCTTTACTTTTAAAACCTCGATCCGTTTTTAAAAAATACTAATAATTTGGTTACTAAGAATAAATACAGTGTCCATTTTATTCTGAAATTTTTTGTTGTTGATGCATCCACTTATCCCATTATTTTGACAGTTTGAAAGTCTCATGCTACTTGATAAATTGGAGTATTAAAAAATGAGTGGGAAACGAATGATGTGTCGACGTATACAGACAATCTTTCTGGGACACGATCATGTAGTGGCGGCGTTCCTCTCCTACGCACAGTTCTGTGATGCAGGCATTGCGTCAGTTTTATCTTTCACAGTGTTGCCAGACGATAAGGAAACTCTCATATATTACAAAATATCCGATTTTATGAACATGACGCGTCAAACCCATTTTACAACTACTTCAAAATATATAGTAACAAACTGACAAACTCACTTTAATGCAACTCATAGCTGATTAGGCTTGGTCTAGTCGGTCCATGGTACGTTTTTCATTTTGTTAACATTGAAAGCTTCTCAATATTATGTGGATTATTAAGGTATTCAAGAAGGAGAACTATACTTAAAATTTGTTATGTTTCAATCGTTCTAAAATATTTCTAAATGTTCAATTCACAATTTGACACAATGAAAGTGAGAGGATACAATTTCAAACGACATCATTATTTACCCATTTTATTTTTATTTTATTATTTACTTAGAAATGATACTTCTCAATAAGGCATTGCGGTCAGCAATGATGAATTCTCGGGTTAGTAGTAAACAAATTCTATACATATAAGGTATGTCATGTACTATTCTATTTGAAACCTTCATATACAGTGCTTTTCAGAAAGGTCCCCCCTACTTATTTTTTTAAGCGGATCATGTTAGCATGCTGAAGTTCTGGTAAAATTGACGCATAGTATGCTATATCAATCTTCTTCTTTCTTCTGGAAATTTCTATCTAAATGTGCAAAAAATATGAACATTCAGTTTAAAAAGAATGTCGGATTTTTACATTTTCTTAAACGGAACATTTCGTATTTTATTACATGTTCAAATAGATGCTTCCAAGAAAAAAAACTATTGATTAGAACACACTCTATGGTATGTGATGAATGTTCATTGAGTCATAAGTTGGTCAATTTTAAAAAATGCACAACTTTGACAGCCTGCCAGTTCGCCGTAACAACAAATTGTGCTTTAATATCCTGGGGTTATAAACTACTACTAAGGTGCTTTAAAATGAGGTATTACACGATCCTCATTCCACTTAGAAAAGTGTTCCAAAATGACGAGCCATCTTAAAAATTTTAACTGCCTCTTTTACGATAAAATATAGTATTTCCATGTCTCGATTTCATTTTCTAAGTTGATCCTTTAAAAAAATAAGTAGGGACGGGGAACTTATTGAAAAGTACTGTATGTCATTTTGTATGGAATATAACATGTCTGGATCCAATTCCAGGCCCAATTTCTGGGTTATGTTGGGTTTGAAGACATCAGAGTATTACGACTTATTAATATTGATGTCCCTCGATAAAACGTTGGTGCGTATTTTAGGCTGGCGGCATCATTGTTCAGTGCGTTTCCGAATTTTTTTCTGATAAGTCCATGACCATCAACAGCGACCGCGGAGTTGACGAGAATTGGGTAAAAGATGGCGTGATTTGGTCCTATTAGACTTTTGTTGTGGGGCAGAATTAGAAATTTGGATGTTCTGGTTCTATGCCACCACTCGTTCTTTTTGAGAAATTTATTATTAAAAAGCGTGGAATTGACTCATACACTCCATTTTTTTTGTCACAATTCATGAATTGGCTATTTACAAATATTATGTCAAGGACACTTTACATATCAATATTTCACCTAAAAAATTAGTGACATCTCCTTTTCAAACATACCATTTCAGATATCATTGTTTATTGATGGTTTTCACATCCATTTGTCACATCCATGTATGGGTAAATTAGACATAAATATACCAATTAATTTAAATTTTGTGATGGGTTGTGGTGTATAGGGATATTTGTCATGGCAGTCCATATATTCCAACATTTTCATAGCAGCATATAGGAACATGCATGCGTTCCCTAGAGGAATACGCATGGAGTAAATAACGAGCGAACAGGTTTGCCCGGAGTATATGGGTGTGCTTTATTTCCGGACTTCCGCCAAAACTATATTTTAATTTAAGTTTCAAAATGAAAACGCGAATTGCATTTTCAAGATTTTCAACCAAAGCATATTCATATAACAAATGCCTATTTTGAGATCATTTCTTGTTGTGTAGGTGTAAAGACTTGTTTAGGTGAATAATTGCTTGGAGTACATCAGAAAAAATATTTAGGGTGGCCAAGAAAAGGACGGGATAGTACTATGAGCTCATGACCTATTAAATAATGTACATGAGGCTTACAGGATTACCTGTATCTCGAATTTAGTTTCTGAGTCATTTTAGTTAGGGCTTGCGTTTAGACAATTCACAGAGGCGCCTGTATATTTTATATGTTTAGTGTATCATATTTGCGAAGTTTTTTTTTCACTTATTGATTCAACTTACATCAGAATTATTATAGAAATGTTGGTGAACTCACGAAACTATCAGTGCTTTAAAAGCGTCAAAATTAAAAAATTCCATCCTTTCGTTTGTGAAATATTTGTCTCGAAAGTTGATAAATCTGTAAATTTCGTATTATTGATGCTTACTGATAAACATAAGATTTGTGAAATTACAATTTTTAGATGTATCTTCTTATGTATTTTGAGACCCTTAAATCAAATCTAAAAATGGAATTTTTCTATCACCCACAGAATTATTAATTACAATACGTAACATCTCATATTGCTGCATTTCTCGGCGTTTATGCGATGACGCCATATATAATGTTAAGACCTGTCTATTCCTGTTTATTATATGCGAGCTCTATGTTTAGAGAGCATACTGCGTTTATTAGTAGACTAATAGCAGCCGAGTCAGTTATGTTTTCTGTACTGAGATGTTCTGAGTACTCTTAATTTTTGTTAAAACCTTGTGTTGTTTTTAGTTTATTGTAATCGAGACTAGCTTTATGGACAATGCCTAGAACTTGTGTAAATAGTCCGAACAGTTTTTGTTATGTGTGCGGAGAGCTAACTTTAAATCCCAAAAACGTACTTTTACTCCCCTTGTGTTGAAAGCATACGAACTTTATTTTGGAATTAAAGTTGCCGACCAAGATAAACTATGGGCCCCTCATATATGTTGTAAGACTTGTGTAACGTTGTTAACAGGTTGGTTAAGAGGCGACAATCGTATAATGCCCTTTGCGGTACCAGTGGTTTGGGGAGAACCAAGAGACCATAGTACGGATTGCTATTTTTGCTTTTAAATCAGTTACTGCAATTTTTTTAGGCAATGTGAAGGCGGACAATTATAAAGATGTAACATGTCTCTAAAAATTCACTTTTTGGATTCTCATCTCGATGTTTTCCGGAAAATTTAGGTTGTCCATTTCATAAAAAAATATTTTAATTTTGTTCACCAGTGTTATAGATACCCATAATTACTGTTGTATACGACGGCTAGGAATGGAAACCAGCTGTCCCACGTGGAAGTTATAGATAAATTAATCCAAAACGTATTTGAACCATTGCAACTGTTATATGATTTCAATTAGATTTTTTTTAAACTAACTTTGCATAACTGTTAATGAAAAAAAAAACTAAAAAATAGTAGATAATTGATTTAAAGCAACGCCACTTATAACGTTCTCTCATCAATCCCTTCCATTTGATATCCATGTCATAGGAAATTTTAAATCGACATATTGCAGCCGCCGCCATACTGGATTGACAATGACATCACTTTGCATTTTGCGTTTCGCTCATCAAGCCTTTCCACTAGCCAACATCAGGGGTTACAGTGGTAGTGATAAATCACCGTTTTGTGTGACATTTATTTGATTATGTTGGAAAACACCATCAATCCGCTCATCCGGTTCGGCAATGGCTAGACGACGAGCTTCCAGACAAATGGATAGGGCGAAGAGGGCTATATTAGAATTTTTTCTATCTGGTCATTTGAAATCTATTGTGTTTACTCCCCAATCTGAAAGTTTGGAAGAACTTTGTCAACGCATCACCGAAAGCTGC